CGATTTCGGTGGTAGCGGTTATTTTTGTACGGCGCGGGACATAGCGGTGTACGAAATGCCACGGTTCTACACGTTGGATTACATAATGGTTCAGCAAACCCTACCTTCTCTTCGTCAACCGATGCTGAAATGCTATTGTTAGCACCGTCGCTACCATTGGTAATAATAAATTGAAACGTCACTTCACGAAACGCGGGTCGACATATTTTTAGAGCATCGGAAGCGAAACGTAGAGGGGCGTGTATGAATATGCGTATTGGACGAGGTGGAATTAAGATGTATAAATGAATTTTGTATCTTGTATACGTCTGTATATTCGAGGAAAAATAACCTATGAAGATGCATTTATCGTGTCTTACTATATTTCGAATATGACCATTTTTATTTCTACGACATCCACTTGGAATCGTTTGTTCATTTAAAAGGGTAAAAAATAATAGAAGAACGAGATAGAAAAGATTACTGAAACTTTAGTCAAATCAATTATGCTAATATTGCTCAATTTTATAAACGTTATTGGTTAGTTTATATTTCGTTTAAATAAATTTGTGTTTTATTTTGAGTCATTTAATCGAACATTGCGAAGTCTGCCATTTATTAACCAAACTTTGAAATTGTTGTTATACGTTTAGAGGAATTTAAAATTCATTATTCTTTCGCTAAAATCGCGTGACATACTGGGTGTCCTGAAATGAAATCTAGGATTTCGAGAATACAAATTTTTCCTTTGGAAGCATACTTGCAAACAATCCTTTCCAGAGATATTAATTTTCAAAATTACGATGCTATAGAAACGAATAAGACACGAATATTTCGTTTAAAATAGAAAATTGAGGGAATGGAAATTACAGGAATGACAGAAGAAAATTAGAAGAAATTAAGAAATGTTAATTGATCACTCGTTCCTTTATTTGTATTTCAAACAAAATAGTCGAGAATTATCATAAAGCAATACAAGTAAAAAATTTATATTTTGATATTATTCATTTTTATAATCGAGTAACTTCTGAAATTAGTATTTCTTGAAGCATTTACAAGCATACTTTCAAAAACCTTTATTCCTCTCGAGGACCTCGATTCGTACCTCAACTGTGGTCATTTAACCCAGGTCATTTAACGCTGTATTATGAAAACTTATTTCAAATATTATTTCAAACGATAGAAAATAAAAATTCGCAACGAAATATTTAAAATGTGAGTAAAGATAGGACTAAAAATTAGAAATGAAAATGTTCCTCGCGGAATTCCCGAGGTTCCATAGAACAGTCGAATGTCAGGTCGAAAAGATGGGATAAAGTGAAATAAATAAGAAAGAAATGCCCGTACAGACGAAGCAATTCCGCAAGGACCAGCTAGCCCAAGTGAATCCGCCGAAATACGAGAAAACGGAAGACATGGCCGACTTGACATTCCTGAACGAGGCTGCTGTGTTGCACAACTTGAAGCAGCGATACTACAGCAACCTAATCTACGTAAGTGAAACTGTTTCTACTTCTACTAATCGAGTTTCCCTTTTCTTTCCCACGAAAATAGACCAAGGACTTCAAAAAAGATCAGCTGCAGCAAGTAAATCCACCGAAATATGAGAAATGCGAGGATATGTCAAATTTAACTTACCTCAACGATGCTTCGGTCCTCCACAATTTGAAGCAACGTTACTACGCCAAACTCATCTACGTAAGATTATTTCAACCCAGCAGAGGTTTCCCCTTTGCTCTTTCGTCAACGTTTCTTCGTTTTCGCCTTTGGCTTTCACCAATGGCAACGTTTCTCCCTCGTGCCCCTGGGGACGTTGGATAAAGCACGCTGGACGTGCCACCACGTTCCTCGTTGAATTCTCATTCTTCCTAGAATCGTGTCACGAACGGTGATCTCGATGAAATTGCATGAAATTGCGTCGAAAGGTCGAGACATCGATCACAGGTACTTTGACTGACCAGGGTGTCTCGACGACCGAATTCACTTTCTCATCCAATGATGTAAATACCCACGAATCTTCGACTTTCCGAGTACTTTCTTCCAAATGCATGGTCATCTTGGTGATTCGCAAACGTCGTCTTATAAAACACATATACGTGTAGCGACGTATTGTTGCTTATTTTTTCTTTTCTTTTTTTTGTCCAGGAGGTTGTACGAACTTTGACAATTACGTTTATTGGATCTTCGTTGTTTCCAGTGTAAACAAAGTTCTCGTCTCAAGACACGAGTTACTTTCCCATGAAAAAATCTTACTCGTTTTTTCATCCTAAAATATGAGTTTTCGTTTACTAATTTGTAAATACAGACACATGCACGTGTGCATATATATGTATGGTTTGTATACACGTATGTTTGCAGTTCAAAATCAGTCTTGTTACATGAAATGCATAAAATTGAAATAGAAAATTGGCATTTGAAAAATATGGAATCCACTATTTGTAAATTATGTGTACGTATAATGCAACGTCACTGATTTTTGATCTGTGTGAAACATGATTTTTACTCGTTTCGTTCGCTATAGTGTGTATGTTTAATTAAGATATCGGTGATAATTTAATTCCATTATATAGTCTTCTTGTCAGAGAAATTGTCAAGTGTCGACGAGTAAAAATGATCTATAAACATGTTCTTTTACCGTGTCAATGAAGAGGTGAAATTCGAACCAATTTTTGGGGAATTTTGTGTCTTAACGACTCGACTAACTTCCACAGTTTGAAGCATTTTTCGTACAATGTGCGATGATTGTTTTCAGACCTACTCTGGCCTCTTCTGCGTTGCCATTAATCCCTATAAAAGATTCCCCGTATACACCCAAAGGTGCGCGAAACTTTACCGAGGCAAGAGACGTAATGAAGTGCCACCACACATTTTCGCCATTTCCGACGGTGCCTACGTTAACATGCTTACCAGTGAGTACATTGCCACTATTACTTTGACAGAATAAGAAATTAGAATGAAAACCCTAAAATAAAAATTTCGAACAGAAAATCGAGGGAATAAAATTTAACATAGAAAATTTATTCTATAAAATTTAAAAAATAATTAATTTTGTCGAAAGCAGCTTTATGCTTGAAAGTAGCTAATTTCAGTATTAAAAATTTCGATATCCAGTCGCTCGTGAAGATATTCAAACGTTTGTGTCCCAAATTTTTCACGAATGAAATACAGGTGAAAGATTGGAATAAAAATAATATATTTTTTAAAATATTATTCTCCAAGTCCAACACGTGTATTTCATCTCCATAAAATTCTGTACAGTAACGTTGAAATATTTTCGTGAATGGCTTTATATTAAATGAATAATGTAATTAAAAAATTCCAAAGTTATGTGATTCAAGAACAGAGTATTTCAGTATTTCAGTTACCTTAATCGTGAAAAATTTTCAAAGTACGTTAATGGTAAAATATCGACGAATATAAAATAGGGGAATGCTGTATGTACCAAAATTCATGAGTCTCGTTTCGTTTACAGACAGTGAAAATCAGTCCATGTTGATTACCGGTGAGTCTGGTGCCGGGAAAACTGAGAACACGAAGAAAGTAATTGCGTACTTCGCAACTGTCGGTGCCTCGACCAAGAAGTCAGATGATTCGAGCCAGAAGAAGGGTTCTCTGGAAGATCAGGTCGTCCAGACTAACCCCGTCCTGGAAGCGTTCGGTAACGCAAAGACCGTCCGTAATGATAACTCCTCACGTTTCGTAAGTCTTTCTTTGTATCTATTTCTTACTTACATACTACACGTGTATTTCTTACATCACGTACACGATTACATATTTTATTCAGATGGAACGATAAAACTGAAATTATCGAAATTAAGGGTGGATTCCTTGAAACTTTGTAAACCCTCGAAACTCGAGAAAATTTGGAGTTTACGAATTTCAAATTTTCCATTTATTTTCTTAATGATTACGGTATTCAAAATTTTTTATTTTTTTTTGTTTATTTTAATTCAAAATACTATTGGACGTTTCTTAGATGATTCGAGTATTCGAGAATTTTTGAATTCTTTGTAATTAGAATTTTGCATTTCTTTAGGTGATTACTTGATACTTTGTGTCTTTTTTCGTAATTAGTGTATTCGAAATTTTACTTCTTTTGTGATTATGAAATTTTTGAAACTGAGGTGAAAAAAAATATAAAATCGATGATTAAAGTGTTAAAGAATGTTCGATTTTTGTGATAGTAAATGCGCGACGATCTACTTTTTTGACGTTGTATAGATTGGAAATCGATTATGGTCGTAAAGAAGCAGATTCAGTTCCTAGAAATAAAATATTTCTATTTCAGAACAAAATTGACACTTTAAATTTCAAAAATTTCGAAGTTTTGCAAAATTTTCAATTCGTGTATCGATGATTTTATAATGAATTTCTAATACAGTCCTACTTAAAATGTAATTCGCTACACGATTCTTCGATTCTCACATGGACTTGTAAATATGAATTGAATGAGCTTTCTTATCCTCGAATAGGGTAAATTCATCCGTATCCACTTCGGTCCCTCTGGAAAACTGGCCGGTGCTGATATTGAAACATGTAAGTTTCACTTAAAATTTCTGACAGACATTTTACATACATCGTCTCTTTACTAAACAGCAATATTTATGCAAATCTATATCTTCATGCGAAATAATTAAAATCATGAGGACTGAACAGAAATTTGTTTAGTCCTTAAATAAAATTTTAGAAATACAACTTTTATTTGTATATTTTATATATTGAACATATTTATATATTTTACACACATGTATCAAGTATAAATTTCTTAGACGAGTGCATAAATTGGATAGAAAATTCAACGTAAAAATTATTATTATTAATATTATCACGTAAAAAGATAAGTAATTTAAATATATTATTCAAAATTAGTTACACGTCGAAATACCATATAAAATTTTTACATGGTGTCAATGCAAATTTGATTACATCTCTCAAAGTTTAACAACAAAATATTTCGATTAATTCAAATTTTGATGCATAAATTTAAAATATCACAGATTCGGAAGAAGATTATTACAATATAGTCCAGAAAAATTACAGGAAATAAATTTTCTCTATATAATACATATATTTTATACACCTCTTGTATATTTCGATTATGTTTGCACGAAAATCCGCTTAAAATCTCTACTTATGACAAGTGATATAGGAATCTCGGGATAGATTTTTTTGCGTTGTATTTACAAACATATATATAGAGATTAATTTGGATAGAAACGTAGTTGGCTTTATTCCATCGCTACTTTTTTTAAATAATATATTCGTTGTACATGCGTTTTATCTTACCTCCGGTTTGCGTCATGCATACCTACCTGCGCGTGGAAACAATTGCATCACGATTTATTTCGGAACAAACTTAATTACCCTTCGATTTTTTAATAACTTGTTCCTTGTTTCCATATGAATTTATTTCTTTTCATGCAGATCTGCTGGAAAAGGCCCGTGTCATCTCTCAACAGGCTCTTGAACGCTCGTACCACATCTTCTACCAGATTATGTCAGGCTCAGTCCCTGGTTTAAAGGGTAAGACCATCCAGTTTCTAATCCAGAGATTACTCGATATACAAATTATAAACTGCATTTTATAATAGTAACATATGACAAATTTTTAAGCGACGATTTATTTGGCGAGTCGAAGGTTGTCTTTAGGATGAAAGATCTGTCTTTCTCACGATTAAGTAACACAGCCACGTTGGCTAGTGTACTTTTGGGACTCTCAGTCCGATTAGAAAAGTTCAACGAACGTGATCTAGGAAAACTTGAATTTCCAAGTTGTCAATGTACGAAAACGTAATTTAAGCTAGCTATACGTCTTTAACATCGTTCACAGGTAAAGACCTTTTCAGGAGACTTTGAACATTTCCTGATCCCTCCTATTCTTACCTTCGAGCCGAAAATTGAAAGACAGAAATTAGAAAAAGTGTCAGGTTGCAGCAGAAATTGTGTGAATCGCTAGACGTGTAATACGGCATATCGACTGTTGTGGAGCCACTTCTCTCTATTCTGTCAGATTTCTTACTTGTTTGATCCTCGTTCCATGTAGAAATGTGCTGCCTCACGAACAACATCAACGACTACTACTTCGTCTCTCAGGGCAAGACCACGATCCCAAATGTTGACGACGGCGAGGAGTGTGGTTTGACCGACGTAAGAACCTGACGATCATGCCAGGGCTACGCAACTCTCACTTGTCTCCTCTGTTGCCCTTTTCCCTACCCTAATTGCTACACTAGCCGCCGATATTCTTTCTAGCTTCTGTTGTTGTTACTCCCGTTTCGATTTTCCACGCCCCTTTCTCTTGAGTTTCTTTGATTGTTCGCTGTTTGTAGAATTAGGATGGAAAATGGTTTATTTTAATGATTCTCATGGATGAGAGAAGTATCAAGGTAGCATCTTCTATCTCGCGTTTCTACCTCTATTAAGCTTATGGGATTTATAATTCCAGACGAGATCGTCGATGCCTACCTTCGTATTTTTCTCCACTAGCAGTCCCTGAGTTACTTTCAATAACGTCCTTTTAAAGTACAGGACTTTTTTAAATCTGTAGCTGAATCTCCCACAGGAAAGTTAGCGAGGAGGCGCTAAACGAAGAAACGGTATTTCAGAGAACTGTACCGTACGCTATCCTTACTCTTGTGACTACCCATTAATGATCATCCTTGTTAGAATCGAGATCCTAAATTGTCAGACGTGTTCCTCGATTTATCGTGACAGTATATATACTGTCAAAATAACTGATATCATCAAAAACTAATTATAATTCGAACTATTTCCTTTTGATTATTTATTATATATTATTTGTTACGAATGTATGTATAATAAATATCAAAGACCACGTAGAATTTAAAATTTCACCTAGATTACTTACTATATCGATTATAATGTATCTTATATGGAGGAAGACAATTTAGGAAACATGTATCCCAAAACAACTTTTATAGGTCAAGTTGCTCCAATTTAACAAATCAATGATTTACAAGATCAGACGATTTTTGTGACAAAATCGTTCTTTTTGAATAGACGTTCATGTATATACTAGTCCTTGTAGATGCATTCCGAAGGAAAGCCACCAGGAAACATGGCACCCTCACTTGTAGTTAATACCTGCATGTCTTTTTGTTCTTTCTTGGCCGTCTATAGAAATGTTGCTGCTGTCCAACAACGTCCATGACTACTACTTTGTGTCGCAAGGCAAGACGACAATCCCTGGCCTTGATGATGGCGAGGAACTTTTAATCACCGATGTAAGTGCTTCCCTTTGACCGGTCAAGCACTATTCTCTGCGATATTCGAGATCGAAGTATTCACCCAATGTGACAACTCAAAATAGAGATCACTGAATTTCTGATCATCAATTTTTCTATTTTAATGCTTTCTTTTTCAATGCTTCGTATTTTACGACGTCGTGTTTTTCGTTTCTTGGTATTTCAAAATTTTTGAAAAATTTTTTGGAAATTGGATACACGAAATTTTATTTTTAAAGATCAAACATGTGCGTGTACGTTTGATATTTGGGAGGTGAATAATTCCATCTTGAAAATTGCTACTAAATTCCTTTGTATACTACTTTATGTACCTTACTAGCAATCTCTTTTTCTACAGAAGCGAAACAACTCTTCAAGCTTCGTGTTATTGTCTTTGGTTTCACAGTAATACTTTAGTGGTATATGTGCTGAGATTTATCACTGTTTGCCACATATTCTTTCTCTCTTTCTGTCTCTTTCTCTGTCTCTTTCTCTCTGTCTCTCTCTTTCTTTCTCTGTCCATCTGTTTATTTCAGCTCATCGATGCATCATCTCTTATTAAAATGTAACCAATTCATATTCTTTTTAACAGCACACGTAATAATGTTAGCAGCAAGAACGGCAACAACGGAAGAATTATCATTTTCTGCTTCTAATTCTCTTATCTACATTCTGTTCTCTCTTTCTCTTTCTCGTTGTTCTTGTACTTCTCTTTCTTCTTTCTTTTCTCTATTGCTCTTCTTCTTTCAGCCTGTCGCAAATCATTTGGCACATGTTCATTCTTTCCTTTCTCTCTCTCGTGCTCGTCTTGCAATTGCTCGCGACATTTTATCGGTTATGGTAGCAACGAAAAGTCAAAAAGTGCTTAATCAATTCGATTATTATACGTTTCAAGTTATCACGTATCGAGTATAACTGATTGCAAAATTAAAAGAACGCTTAAGAACGAGAGGTAGAAATTGTAAACTTCCAAGATACGCATAGCGAGGCGAGATAAAATGGAGAGCCATTGCAAGTGGTAGCTTCAACGACACAACGCTCGTAAAGCAGGCAGCTTGAAAACTGAACAAAATAATGCAGAATTAACCCTGCTGAGCAACCGGATCGGGGACTATTGGTACATTAGCCAGGGTAAGACCAGAATTCCGGGAGTCAACGACGCCGCGGACATGGAAGACACGGACGTAAGTCCAACCCCAGGGTGCACGAAAGATCTTGGCAAACTTTTCGTCACTTTGTCGAAATTGTTTCTTTCGACCTTATCTAGTTCTCGAATCTTTTTCCTCGTCTCTCTTCTTCCACGTATCGCTCTGTGCCTATTGCAGACAGAGCAAGATCGTAGAGGGCAAAGTGACAGAAAAGTTGGGCCGAGGTTTTCATCACCCCCTCGCGCCCCGCCTGCGAAAGCTTCCTGCCGCCGCAATCGGGGTGCGGGGAGATTGGGGGAGGAAAGGAATACTTTGATTCGAAATATTCTCACTCGAGGTAAAGCAAATCGAGCCCCCAGGTACCCGCTCCCCGATCAGCTCCGACTCACCTATCTCTCCTTTTGCGCCAACACTTTGTCGCTCATTTGCAGCAACCGGGAAGAACAACCAGGGATAACGAGCTGGTTTTTATCGACCATCAATTTCCTTATAGTTTCTTGCAGTAACCTTATAGTATAGCACATTTGCCATCTCCGAGATATTTTTCGAATAGGTAGTACCTAATGTGAGGTAAAAATTTATATACGTACGATTTGAGCAGTGTCTGTAATTTGGTTGCTATTCGTAGTCGACCTTCGATATTTCAATTGTTGAAATTTTACGTAGATCAAGATCAATGTCTGAAGACTTACCTTAGAGACTCTGTTTTTAAAAGGTTTTTAGGGAAGTCATCTGGAGGACTGATGAACGGTATATCTATAGTGACTATCACGAATTATTTGGGATCTACGAATATCGAGTAATTTGAAATTGAATACGAGTCACGCTATAACTCATTTTCTTCAAAATGCTTCACAGACATGTGTTTATTGTCCAACAACATATACGACTATGTCAACGTGTCTCAAGGAAAAATCACAATCCCCAACGTCGACGACGGTGAAGAATGTTCACTGACGGACGTAAGTCCTTAGAAAATGGATTCTTGAAACCATAATTTTTTTCTACGTACCTTCACATGGTCTCTCACACTACCATGTGTACTTTCCTATGTATGTGAAGATCTATCTATGTACCTTCTTTTGTAAACCCTCAACTGTATATCTATATTTCTGTCGAACTTCCTATTTATGACAGCTATCACGTCGATAAATAGTAACGAATTTTATTAATAATTAAATTTACACAGTTTCATAAAATTATCGATATTTAATAATTTAATCTTAACTTGCATCACTTCGTTACTGTATTTTTGTGCGAACATTTGATTTCGTCGATTCGAGTAATTTCATAAAAATATTCTTATTATTTTTCAAACATTTTATTTTATTAATTCTAATTTTTAGAATTTTCTCGATACCTTACTTCGTTAAACGTAATTTTTCACGAGAGTATAATATATAATAATATATCTCGAATAAAAGACTAGGTATAAAATGTTGGGCTAACCGAAACCTGAACTTTTGAAAAGATTTAATAGTTGAATATAAGACTAAATTAAATATGAATTAAAATATTTTTCGTTACTATTCAGCACTGGGACTCCATGTACATAAAGGTTGACCCCCGATTGTCAAATTACCTTCTACCTGTTTCTCACGATTGTTCGTCCGAATCCAATTTTTGACCTGGACGTACGTATGAAAAGTTACAGAAACCAATCGTCAGTTCCTCATACTTCTGGAACGAAGATTGCGTGTCCGTTGGTTTGGAGGCAATACTTTATGCAACTTCGATAAATTATTGTCTACATGTCCCGGAACGCAAGCACCATGTCTTTCTGTGTTTAAACCAATTTAGACTCCTCTAAATATCGTGACGCTGATGAAAGAGGATTTCTTTGATCGTGCATTCACGGAAACCCTGTATACTTAACGAATGCAACTTGTCTTGTTCTTGATTTTCCCAGACCCCCTCCAAAACGTCAAATTCAGACAGCCTCGAGATGGAAATTCTCGACGGTTGGAGATACGTTCAGCCTCGAGGCAAAGCTGACATCCGAATGGGTAACGACGTTGCACCTGAACGAATCGAGTGTCTTCAGGGGCCCATTCCAAAGAGCCATAAAATCGGCTGTGAACCCTTGTTTTCGTTTTGAACGAAGGAGGCAATTCGCAATTGCGCAGACTAAGCGATTGAAAACGAAAGAAACATCGATCCTCCTTCGCGATCTTCTTCGATCTTTTTCCTCTTCTATCTTTTCTCTCTTTTCACGTCGATTGTGCAGAGTTTCCGTTTCTTTACTTGACACGGAAGTGTAAGCTTCGACGAAAGCGGCTATATGATACGAGCTCTGCTTCCGCTTTCTCATTTTTTTCCTTTTTTTTTAATACGTAAATCCGAGCTTAGTTTTCCGCAGCTTTGGTCAATTTTCATAAGCTTTGCGTACAAATTTCGCTTATGGCATGGGAAAATCGTAAAGAGGCTATCGAAGATGTTTTTCAAAGAGTTTTGAAAAATGATCGTTTGTCACTCGTCGATAGTCTCTTTAGAAAGATCATCCACCTTCAGGCTTTATATCTGCGTTATCCTTGTGTGATCCTACTAATAGTAATTTAGTATCTTCTCCAATGAAAGTATCTTGATTATCATTGTATCAGAAGTATTAGATGTTTGTTGCCGTTACGAGCTTTGTTTCTTTTCTTTCTTTTTTTTTAAATACGTGTTAGTCTTGCGAAAGATGTATTTACTCGTGCAAAAAGTCGAAAGTTTAACGCGAAACGTAATTTCGCTGTACTTAACTTCTGATACGAAGTCACGCATGGCTGTAGCTAATTATTCATTTCCAACTGTAGCAAGCCTTCGACGTACTGGGCTTCACTCAAGAGGAAAAGAATGACATCTACAAGATCACCGCCGCTGTCATGCATATGGGTGGCATGAAGTTCAAACAAAGGGGTCGCGAAGAACAGGCTGAAGCTGATGGCACCGAGGTACTTGTCCGATTAAATTTACACGTAAACTCAGTGATACATACGTGACCACTTTGTTATTTAAAGTTACCGTGGAATTTTGCAGTATCGAAGTTCTGGATTGGATTTTAAGTCATTTTAAATGATTTAAAATCACCAGTTGATGATATTTATAATATGAATATAAAACTTGGATAATAATCGTATGTAAATTACGATGAAGTATTTACATATGATTATCGTCGAGTCATAATAAATTCGAGTTAATTGAATTTTATATTAAATGAAAGTGATAATTTGCAATGTTATTTAAGTTCGAACAGAGGTATGCTAATGATAAATTAATTAACTATTTATTTTATTTTCAAATGGATATTTTCATCTATTTATTTTCAAAGAGATTCCAAAAATTTAATATTCATAATTACTGACGTGAATTAGCGTTATTTCGAATTCCGTTTCTGACTGTCAGTATCACGATTTCAAAGGACAATTTCTTCCAAACTCGCATTATAGAGTTAAAAAAGTTGAGAAAGCTGTGTTAGAAAGTTAGAAGATTAGAAAAATTAATTTCGTTAAATTTAATCGAATTTCCTTGAATTTAATCGAATTTTGTCTAATCGAATCGAGTTCCATTTAATGGCACGTTACCCTTGTTTCTTCTACCAATCTCCTAGCAGGAATCACGAGCAAATGTTCTGTCCCGCAGGAAGGTGAACGTGTCGCCAAATTGCTTGGTTGCGACTGTGCCGATCTTTACAAGAACTTGTTGAAACCAAGGATCAAGGTCGGTAACGAGTTCGTAACCCAAGGTCGTAACAAGGACCAAGTAGCATACTCCGTGGGTGCCTTGTCGAAAGCCATGTTCGACAGGCTGTTCAAATGGCTGGTGAAAAAGTGTAACGAGACCCTGGACACACAACAGAAAAGGCAACACTTCATTGGTGTACTGGATATTGCTGGTTTTGAGATCTTCGACGTAAGTTTCCTCAAGTACTATACATGCTATACTATACACATTCCACCAAGAACAAGTATCGATCGTTGGCGATTTTGTATGAACAAATATCTTTACATGTCATTCCTTTAAATTCGATATTTACCTTCAGATATTTTAATATACCTAGATAACAAAATTCTAAACTGAAGTGTACGTGTGTGGATACACACGTATGTGTTCCATGCACATACAGTACATCACAGAAATATTTCTACCTATGCTTATAATTACCGACTTTGAACAATTGCTATTCTTTTACTATACAAGTTTCAAAATTTTTATTAACGAGAACACGTATCGTATTAATTAAACTTCCCATCGAAATGAAATTTACATTAAAATAAAAATTCGGTGTATCGTGAATAAAAATGAAAGAAAGTCAAATTTAAATTTAATTTAATACACGTTTTCGTCAAATAGAATGTTGAAACTTGTCTTCTAAATTAATAACAATTGATTCAAAGTAGGTTTAAACGAAGAAGTTAGCTACGTAAAAATACTTCTGTTATTCACTGTTATATATTTTCGGAAAAAAGATTTTCCATTCTCTAAAATTGCCAACATATAAAACACGTTAATGAACAACATTGGAAACAGAAAACACGAATAAATTATCGATATATTTCCAACAGCACACAATCGCGTTGACAACGAGTGACTCGACTAATTAATAATTATTAATTAATAATTATTAATTGTAAACAAATGATAAAAAATTTCCCTTATCAAAAAAGTCACCAGTTGTATAATCTCACCTGCAAAACGAAATTTACGATAGATCGTTACAAGTAACGACAAAACACATGAATCCACATCTCGAAACACGAAATTACTTAACACGAAACACGAAATGATATTTTACGTCTAAAGGGTAGAGAAACTCCGTGTTAACGATTCGACAATTTCTCCCCAAAATGATTCTTTCAGGGCTGTTTGAAAATTATTCCGTGAATTTTCGGCTCTCTGTTCAGTAGCAAAAAATGGCACGTTTCATTTCGTTGTTTAGTTTAACGGTTTCGAGCAACTGTGTATCAACTTCACCAATGAGAAACTGCAACAATTCTTCAATCACCACATGTTTGTCCTCGAGCAAGAGGAGTATAAGAGAGAGGGTATCGTCTGGCAATTTATTGACTTCGGAATGGACTTGGCTGCCTGTATTGAGCTGATCGAGAAGGTAGCCCCGTGCAGAAACGTCGCGAATGTCCATTTTGTTCTAATTTCGTCTTTCATAGAATATACCTTCTGTTATGTCAACTTACCTGTTTTAATTTAGACAAAATCTTCCAATTACACGATGCCTGATCTCACTAGGAGATTCTTCCTTGAGTGTTTCCAACATCGACTAGTGGTCATCTGGTTTATGAACGTTTCCTATCATTGTTTATCAACCTATTTTTCGGAACTTAAATGTCGTACCCCAATTTGACATTGCACATATTTTTCTCTAGAAAGATTGTTAAATGTTTGAAAATATTTTATTTGTGGATACACTTCTGAATCCCCTTTTTTCATAGTTTCTAACGTTGACCCTGTTATATCCAAGAAAATAGGTCAAATGTCTTAGAATGTCTTGAATGAACTTGTGAATTTGTTCCCTTTTGTTTTATTGCACTTTGTAAGTGGACGTATAACCCATTTCTCGTATGATGGCTGACATCCTGAGAAGATACATTTCATTTTGATATTACTTGCATTCCCTTCGAGTTAGGATACAATTCTTCTAGGTGTATTTGTTTAATAGAAATCTCTAATCTCCTTTAATCGTTTTCCAGAAAGCGCATGTTCCAATAAGATTTTGGACTTTTTCATAGAACAAGTGTTTACGATTAGAGCATGATTGTCCCTTTGGTCTGTTCATATTACCCGATACTTGGACTCGAAGACACGATTTCAATGTACAAATAGGTTCGATATGTAATGGTATAGCGATGAGGAAGGAACTTGGTAAAAATCCAGCGAATCAGTCGAATTCAATTCAGGTACAATTAATTAATTAAGGTACATAATCGCTATCAACCTGATTATCTTATAGTCTTCATCATTTCATCGGAAAGAGTAAAAACAGTGGACTTCACGATATGTAGAACGTAGCTATTGGTAATTATTAATAGTAGTTGATTAACCCTCTGAAAGTATGTAAGATTTGCTACCAACTGTCCATCGAGGAACAGGACGGTGATATCGTCTGAAAAATCGATTGAAATCGGTTTGTCATCGGTTGTTGCAGGAAGTAGACTAATATTTTGAGGAATTGGTAGTAAATTTATTAGAGTTGACGACGTGTTTACGAAGGAAAAGTGTATCACAACACACGTCTCAGATGATAGTACATGTATCGTGCTTTTCTCTAATACACAGTAGTGTTTTGATCCTCTGTCTATCCATTCAAATATTTGCAATGAAAATATGGTTGAAATTATGAACGAAAGTTCCTTTTTCCTTTAAATATTTTATATTTTATTATATATTTTTATATTCATCTTTTTATCTTTTTATATATTTTTATCTTTTTACACCTGAATTACACTTATGTAAGTATTTCAAGTTTTTGACGAAGAAAAGTTTTCTTCGTCGAAGTGAACAGACAGCAAATATTTGAAACATATTGCACAAATCTCTACCTTTCCTGTAAATAACAACACAGTACAAGTTGTAGTTCATTTTCTATAAACTCGAGAAGAGTTTAAACCTTTACGATCAAGAAACCTTTTATGTCAAATTGGTCAATCGACAATACAAATTTTGGAAATACAAACACAAATTTTGAATAGCATAAAATATATTTACGGTAAAAATACCAACATTTTCTCTATCACGCTATAAATTATCAATCATTTACTATGAAACGTGTTACAAGTTACTATCGTTTAAATTTTAGGCGATTCGATACTCGATAAATTAATCTTCTTTAATTATTACATCAAAGATTATGCTATATAGCATTATATTCGTAATAACTATAATATAGTTTCGTATTATAGTTAATTTATACGCCATGGAGAACATCATTATAGAAAGCTTCATTCGGAAAATATTATATTACATTCGCAATATTCACGATATTATAGAAATTATAGAAATTATTAGAGAATTATTAATATTATAGAAATTATTATAGAATTATTAATAATTAAATAATTGATAATTAAATTATTAGAAATATTATAGAAATTATGGTAGAAAAATGAAATTTGGCAAATTTGTCGATTGACTTGTCGACACGTTGACTTGTCCTATTAACTCGTTTTGTAGTGTTAGCAAAAACGAGAGTAAAGTACACATGTATACGTAGTTGTGTATGAAGTAGCCTCGAAATGACACAGAGTCAAAGAAAAATAATACAGGTGTACACACTGACGAAAAAGCATGCTTGATTCTTGCTCGAACAGTTCAACAGCTTCGAGCAGCTCTGCATCAACTTCACCAATGAGAAGCTTCAACAGTTCTTCAATCACCACATGTTCGTCCTCGAACAAGAAGAATATACGAAGGAGGGCATTCAGTGGGAATTCATAGACTTTGGCATGGACCTCCTCGCGTGTATTGAATTGATCGAGAAGGTACAAAAAGACAAATGAACCGATCGAATGGCAACGGACCATGTGACGGATCCAGCCATAAAAATAAAAGTGAACAGAAAACAAGAATGCAGCATAAGGATCCACAGAAAGACCAGTTGGATCTTTGACAAACGCAAAACTTAACGCTTATTAAGGCAAACCGCCATAGTGATCGTCCACTGTTTTCTTGATTTGATCGCAAATATTATCCGTGACTTTCTTTTTTTTTACCTTTTTTTTACTTTTTCCATTGTGTATTGTCCTTTGTGGTTGAATCGTTTCAGTGACAAGCAAACAATTTGTCGTCTCGCTTAGGCATTTTATGTCTATTTTCTTGTTTTCGTCTACCCTCCATCCCGTAACATCATGTTCGTTACTCTTAATAAATCTTACAATTTTCCTGTTTTCTTTTTATTTTTACTTCTTTTTTAATGAAAAGGTATCAGTTATGTAATTCTTTCTTGTGTTCGTACGCTATTTGTTTTATCAAAAGGCACATCGATGAAATAGGAAGGAATTTCTGTGTTCCCTCTTGGAGAGAGTTAGTTCACACGAACCTACTAATTAAAAAAGCATTTCGAGGATTAATCCCTTGCCAATTGCATCGATAGATTAGTCTCTATCCCTCAAAGCTGATTACTTTTCAAACATTAATACAACACTTCTAATTTTTTCTCATAATTTATTAAACTCCTTTTTCCAATTTCTTTTTTTTTTAACATTAATTTAAGGTTTTATAGCTACCCTTTTTATAGCCCAAGCCGTTTCGTGTTCAAGCCATTATACACGAAACTTGAATAATTTGTATCACTTTTATAACGATAGATCAAATTTGAAAACAACATTACACGTACTTACGTGTATATACAATATTTGTATTTTTATACTTTGCATTTTCGTTGTGCAATTTTATTGAAATTATCGAAGATTTTGGTGTAAATTAAATTATTTCTAGGACACGATTTTCTCTTGCACTTTTAATCGCTTTTTTACTTTTACATTTTTATACTTCTACACAAACACAATTAAGCTATCGTGTAATCAAGCATACACCATAAACAAGAATACTCTTTTCATGCAAGGAGTTCGAAATTTCTGTGCTTATTCCCGTAAACAAGAAAGTTTGAAAATCGTAGCAAACTTGAATTTTATTAATCGGATTCAATTTAGTAACATCTGAAATTGTTCGGCGAAATTAAGAATTGGTCTCCTCAGCTCCAGCATGAAATTAACGTGATCTCGATGATCATCGAATACAGGTTTCTTTTTGTCCTGTGCCAAATGATCGTCGAGAAGTACGTTACTCTCAGTCCTTGTAGCTTTCATCCTTATTTTACTTCTTTATTATAAATTACATTTCAAAATCAACTAATAAATCAAAGATATTTTGAATTGGTCGTAAAAGAAATAAAATTCGTTAAGGAATTGATAGAATAATAAAAATATTGGAAACAAAAAATTATTTCCAAATTAAAATTATTAAAATTAAATATTAAAATTATTTACAAATCCTTTCAAAGCAATTAAAAATTGGAAGTGACAATTGTTTTGCGACTAAATTACAATAACTTATCACTGTTATAACTGTTATTATAAAAATATGAAACATATGGAATTATTTTATAATCTTTTATAATTTAAAAAAGATGTTCGAGAAATTTTAAAATTTGTCATAAAATTTTTCATGAAACGTAGAAAATTGAAGGCTACAAAGACAAGAAACAACAACCAAACCACTCCAATTAATCTTAAATAATTAATCTTACTCTACTGATTCTTCTTTTCTTCCCTTTTGTTTTCTGCTCTCTCTTTCTCTTTCTCTCTTTCTCTCTCTCTCTCTTTCTCTTTCTCTCCCTCTCCTCGTGTCATACTTGGTCCCGTCTCATGCACCATGCTGTGTCACGCTCTGCCCCACTCGCGTTGTGCTGTAAACGCAACAGTACAACGGCTTTGAGCAGCTCTGCATCAACTTCACCAACGAGAAACTGCAACAATTCTTCAATCACCATATGTTTGTACTCGAACAAGAGGAGTACAAGAGAGAAGGCATCGATTGGGTGTTTATTGACTTCGGCATGGACTTGGCCGCTTGTATCGAACTGATCGAGAAGGTATTCCCACAGTTTTCTCAGAGAGGCAAAAGCAAGCCAGTGTATAAGCGAAGTATAAAAGAACGTACAGAAAATGACAAAAATCGGAGAAAGAACCAACGACCTGATCGATGGGAACTGTAATCGGTGTTTGCCACGAGCTTTTGACCAGAAATACGATTAGAACCTCTTTGACTGGTCCTCGATGTTATGGTGGTAGACGCTTTATCAACGACTCGATGCTTACTTCTTCTTGTCGTAGTTCTGGATATTTATTTGTTGTTATTGTTTCTGCTGCCATTGGGAACGAAGGTACTCGATACATCTACCTTCTTCTTCTTCGTTTCTCTTTACCTTGCTTTCCCTTGTCTCTTTCGTTTATTTTTATTCACCCTCGCAACGGCACTAGTGTCGTGCCTGTTACTATGTCCCCTCATTAAAATCGCTCATTGCAACGAAAATATTAATTGAGCACGGTTCATTATTAATTCAGCGAGGTATATCTGTCAGTCTTGACAGATACCATGTAGCCAAGTCTTTCGACCGAGATCTACATAGCAAAAGAAACATAAAAATTAGCCACGATCACCTCTAGTCAAAAATGTCTCAATGAAGCACTCCATTGGAATGCGAACCGAATTCTAAAATAATTACGACGATACTATATACCGTGGCGGCATCATTCTCACCCTTGTCACAAAATTGATTCCAGGTTTAAGGAGGTTCGAGGATTTTCTGTCAGTCCTCGGTAAACCCTTCGCTTCCTATAAAATTTTCCCACATTTCAATAGTACCCCCGTCTAAGTCAGGGCCTGCTAGGGGTAACTACTGACGAGTCCCAACTAGCAGGCCCAAGATGAAAGTGCATCCCTTCCTTTTCCTTCCATCCCTTCCAGCACCACGCAACACCGAGAATTACTGCCGACCAAACGACTTCAGCAACCATGAGGGAGGACCCCCTCGATACCATACGCCCCATTGAAATGAATCTCGTTATTATCCCTTATAATTATCGATCTATACTATATAATTATCGATTGAACTTACCACTACATCGCCTTTAACTTTTAAAACTAGAGTTTATCGATACACATAGTCGATGAACTTTTGTGTCCCTTTATCACTCATGTGGATTAATCATGCGTCATTTTGTGCACATTCAGCACCTTTCGTGATCCTTTGCAAGTCTACTACGAATCTGAAATGTGAAAACATTTCTGGAAGGTTTGAAACAGAAATTATTATGATATGAAAAATGAAACGATATTAAAAGATCCATGAGGAGTGATCAGTTTCGTAGCAGACTTGACAAAGCAGGTGAACCTTACGAAAGCATAACGTGAAACTTATGCGGTGCTTAAATGACAGCCCCGTTACGAATCCTGTTCCTATCGAAGGGATAAAAGATTCGATAAGGAATTGCCCATTGACAATTTGCAGATCATTGTTTTGTATAAGCAGCATTAATGACAGCTGACTTTTACCTCTGTTTTCTGTTCCGTTGCTTTTCCCCTCCCTGGTCTCGAGCAGTTCAACAGCTTTGAGCAGCTCTGCATCAACTTTACCAACGAAAAGCTTCAACAATTCTTCAACCACCATATGTTCATTCTCGAACAAGAAGAATACAAACGCGAAGGAATCGAATGGACTTTCATTGACTTTGGCATGGATCTGCAACAAACGATTGATCTGCTTGAGAAGGTATTGTTACACCATCGCATGGAACAGCAGGAACGAAAGGTCGACAGCTTCGAAAATTCGATAGAGTCGCTGCAAAAGAGAAATAAAACATAGTCGCGGAGGAAATAGCTTACAGCCGAACGGACATGTCATCAGCATGAGAATGTGATCATTTGCTCTCATACTTTGCTCCATTACACTAACGCTTTTCATAGGTTCACACTCATGGTATCCACGTTATGTCTTTTTTCTTTTTTTTCTTTATGCTTCTTCGTTTGTTCCATTATTTTGCATTTCATTATCTATCTCGAGTCTTTGTATTCATCTTGGCAGATTTTAAGACGTTTATTCGGAAAAGAAGGTATATATGTATATGAAAACGAAATGGTACCTAGCTAAACATATTTGAAAATTTGTACACGTTCCCAGGTACCATTTTTCCGTTTGCATGCTAAGATACACCAGATATTGTAGCTGTCACACGCTGTTCCTCGTGTTGAAACGCAAAGCAAATTAAATTTGTCGATTTTAATACGGACTTGTCAAGCGAAAAGAATCGACCGAGTACACAGGTAAAAGATCAGATGAAATTATCAATCAAGGACTACGACAAACCATCCAAGCCGTCTTTGTTTGATGCTTCCAAGCTTTCCTTGTTTTGTGTTGTCACTCCAGCATGCAGATGTGTTTATGTTCGTGTAGTTTTGTTAGTAAGTAAGAACAACCTTGGTCGAAAGTAGTATTACTATTTTAAAAAATCTCTGTTGATTAATTTCTACCATACTATTCTGTCATCTTTGATCTGGATTCTTCGTTACAGAAACTTGTTCTGTAAGTATGTGTAACGACTTTCTCAGATCAAAGAGGAAATTTGTTCAACGACCATCATTCGATATAAAAAGGATAATAATCGAGAGTAACGTTAATTTAATTTTAAAATATTGAAATACCTTTGCATACCCGTAATCACGATATGCAAAGTTGATTTTCAAGTATCGTTGAAATATTATTTATTTTGCTAAATAGTCGAATCAAACACGATGTACGATGAGGGAACGTTACTCTCGAAAATTCTGTCAAGACAGTGCAGAAAGTAATTCGTTGTTTGCATTCCGATATAGCCTATGGGTATCCTGTCCATCCTTGAAGAAGAATCTATGTTCCCGAAAGCCACTGATAAGACTTTCGAGGAAAAATTGAACAACAATCACCTTGGCAAGAGCCCTAACTATCTGAAGCCCAAGCCACCGAAACCTGGCCAACAAGCTGCTCACTTCGCTATCGGCCATTATGCCGGAAACGTACGCTATTTGTCCATTTTCACTTATTTTCTACTATATATGCTTCACGGTATTACTTTGTCTGTTAAGTATTACTGCTAGCACTTTAATATTACCATCAATACCCGACAAGGTATTATTATTAATGATGGTAGTACTATTTTACTAGTATATTTTTAAAAACGTTAATGGTAGTAACAACAATATTATTTTACTAGTAAAATAGTTGCTGGTAATAGTTTACAATGTTATTTCATTAGTAATGTCTCACACGCTATTGCTGGCAGCAATAATATTATTATCTCGAGAATTATTGCTAGTAGCAGAAATATTATTTTTACAATAATTTTTCATAAGATATTACTAAATACTAATAACAGTATGATTATTTTGAAAACGTTATTGGTAGTAACAGAAATATTATTTTACTTATGTTACTTCACAAAGTGTTAGTAGTAATGACAGTACCATAATTTTGCTAGTAATAATTTACAATGTTATTTCATTAGTAATGTCTCACATGCTACTGCTGGCAGCAATAATATTATTACCAGTAGCAGAAATACTATTTTTGTAATAATACTTCATAAGATATTACTGGATGCTAATAGCAGAACGATTATTTTTAAAAAAGTTATTGACAGTAACAGCAATATTATTTTATTAATGACACTTTACAAAGCGTTACTAATAATGACAGTAATATAATTTTGCTAGGAATAATTTACAGTGTTATTTTATTAGTGATATCTTACACACTACTGCTAGTAGAAGTATTATTTTTATAATAATACTTCATAAGATGCTACTACTAATAACAGAACGATAATTTCTGCAGTGATACTTGACAGGGTATTACTGCTGTCGATATCTGTATTACTATGCTGTTTTACGATAACTAAGTAATACCGATTCATTCTCTATGCCAGTAATAATCTCAAAGTGTCAATGTTTCATAAATTTCGCTGTTTCGCAAAAATTCATACAACTCGATTAAGTGATACACAACTCGAGGCTATAGAAGTATTTGATCGATAGGTACCATACAACATCACGGGATGGCTGGAAAAGAACAAGGACCCGTTGAACGACACTGTTGTCGATCAGTTCAAGAAATCCAATAACAAACTGTTGATCGAGATCTTCGCTGACCATCCTGGACAGTCCGGTGATACCGGTGGCGGCGGTGGTGGCAAGGGTGGACGTGGTAAGAAGGGTGGCGGTTTCTCCACGGTATCGTCGTCCTATAGGGAACAATTGAACAACTTGATGACCACTCTGAGAGCCACTCAACCTCACTTCGTCCGTTGTATCATCCCCAACGAAATGAAGCAACCGGGTGTCATAGATTCTCACCTTGTGATGCATCAGCTCACATGTAACGGTGTACTTGAAGGCATCCGTATTTGTCGTAAAGGATTCCCCAACAGAATGGTGTACCCTGACTTCAAACTACGGTAAGGATTTGTGTTCTCTTCTAGACGTAACCCATTCATTTGAATACGAATCTTTTAGCATTGAAATGTCACATTCCCTGTATTTCTATACGTGACGAATATTTGGAAATATTTTTAATTATTCTATCGTTAGACGAATATTTGGAAATATTTTTAATTATTCTATCGTTAGACGAATATCTTTAAATATTTTTAATCATTCTATCGTTATACAAATGTTTGGAAATATTTTTAATTATTCTATCGTTAGACAAATATTTTTAAATATTTTTAGTTATTCTATCGTTTCACAAATATTTATTCTATCTAATAATTATTGTATCATTACACAAAAATTTGGATTTCAAGATTATTCCTATAAAAATTTTGTTTAACAATTTTTTTTATTAATCATCGTTTACTATACTTTCAAAGTGAATGTAATTAAGTAAAGGTAGCAAGGAGAACAGTAAAATTCAGAAATCAAGGGAAGCAATTATCAAGTTTCATCTAAATATTGTCAATGAGTTTTAATGCTTCGAAATTTACAGGGACTTGGGATTTTTGTTAAGTTTTTTAATTCATTTGTTTCATTTAATATTTCAGTTTTACGTTATTTTTAAATTTTATCTCACACTTACTTTGGTACGTTATTTCACATTCGTATTACGTTGGACGACTGTCGAATTACTCTTTAACGCGCTTTGACAGTAGAGCTACCAAGCCAATCAAAATGATTTGTTCCAAGATTATAATTAGCTTTTGCTAGAACTGATATTAACTTTTATTTCGATGATAAAATTTACTTTCGTCATAGCACTTTAATTACCGTCGTCTGTGGTTAGACGCATATCATAGTTATAGCGTTAAAGCCAGTTCGCAAAGAAAAGACTAGCACCATTGACCGTGAGGACGAAAAAGTAGAACGAGAATTAGGAACGTTCGAATATAAATGACATCATTATAAAACTTTTATATTGTGATCGTACAGTTACATGATCTTAGCGCCGGCCGCGATGGCGGCTGAGGCTGAACCAAAGAAGGCCGCTCAGAGATGTTTCGAGGAAATTGGCCTTGATCAGGACAACTACAGGATTGGTCACACTAAGGCTAGTTGCACACCCCCGAAAAAAATGAATTTTTTCTTGAGTTTTATCCCCCCCTCTTTTGTCCATTGTAGAACGTTATGGTCTGATCCGAGAAAACAAATTATAATGAAATTCGCCCCTGTAGCGAGAAGGATACCGTTCTGAGACCTTTCGAATTTATAACTATATATTTCACGAAGAAAAAATTAGACTTAAACAAAATTTAGCGAATACGTTAAATTTGAAATACGAATAAAATTTATACATTTCATTTCCTTATATAACGTCGTTACGTAATAATATATAATATTATACAATATTATTATATAACGTAATTTTAGCTGTGAATTGTTGTTTTTCATCGGTTAATTGAACCTGAATTGTTAATTGCTTTTGATATTTATATATTAATTTATTACGGAAAATTAATTCGAGCGTTTTCAGCGGTATGCGACTCTTGGTTGGATGAACCTGTCGAAAGACACCATATCAAGCGTCTTAAGCACCTGCACAATTGCACAGCCCCTTGGTGTTAGAGATCTATGCACGACCCATATAAACTTGGAAAATCGTCTTTCAGCGATTATGCCCCCCTGAATTGGCCCCCGATTAAGCAATCAAATATCATATGTAGATTGGTCACGTATCCATGATCATACACGTACCCGTGTTCGTAAACGCACCTGCCTTGTGTGACTCCTAAAACGTATTAAATTTCAAATATCGCGTTAGAAACTGACGTGGAGAGAAGCAGAGTCAACGGAGAGCAGATCCCTTTAGGTTGATACCGACTTAAATAGAACCCGACGTACGAACGCAAACATATAATTGTAAAATCTCGTAGTGACCCTGTACTAATAGTGACCCATCACCTGTTTTTCTTGCCTTGCGACCCCGATACATCTAGGTACAAGATTCTGGCGCCGCAAGCAGTCGAGAAGGTGGGTTCTGACCCGAAGAAGGCTGCAGAGGCGATTTTGGATGGTTCTGGCCTCGATCCCGAACAATACCGTCTTGGACACACCAAGGCATGTTTAATTTACGCGATCATGGTCTGCTCGTCACGCACGCGAATATCAGCGGTTATACGCATAACGAGCTTCATGCGATTCTTACGAATTTTATCGGTTGCTTCATGTCTGGTTCATACACACAGCGGACCAAGTATCGAGTTGTTCAACAGTCTAAATTTCCAATTATTTACATGCACAGTTATACCTCTGTCGTGCTATAAAATTATCCTCTAATTACAATGGCAAGAGCTGCCAAACCTGCAAAGCATGCTCAAATAGAACAAAATACTTGTAATTACAATTAGGAAATATTCTGTAACGTTATTACCATATCATGCAAAAGTTTCTATATTATAATGTTTTCTATGAATTATTGTAAATGAATGTGATTAATAACTCATTTCATTTTGATCTATATCAATGATCTATAAAATAATCTATAAAATAGTGTTCTCTATGAAATGAATGTTGTAAATGAATGTGATTAATAACTCATTTTATTTTGATCTATATTAATGATCTATAAAATAATTTGTTCTTGGTACTGATAAAATTTGTGTCGTATGGATAATTGGGACTAGTTGAGCTAACATTCGAATGTAAATCCTCATTATCGAAAATATTTCAAGTAATATTGGAAATTTTACCCCGCTGTGTGCATCGATCAATCAAACGTTTATTTCGCAGGACTTTCAGTTGTAGTGTTAATAATCGGTGCTGCCTCGCATAAATGTCAAGTGCAAACGTTTCTAACCAAAGAAGACGTTGAAGTATCTTAAGGTTGACTTATAAATCATGATCGCTTAATACCCTTTGAACACTGCAGATTTCTAAGACGGAAATACCATATGGCTAACCTTGCGCTTCGAATTTCGATTTTCCAGACAAATGATCGGAGAGAAAATAATCTACGGCCTACGAAATTTTTCAGTTCTATTTTAGAAATCTGTAGAGAAAGAACCCCCGTGCGATCAAGCACAGAACAGATCACGTACGAATCTGCGATCCCATTTCAGAAATCTCTATGAGATCAACTTCAAGACGGATCTCACGTTTTCCCACGATCCCATTATTAGTATTATAATAACTATACCATCTACAAATGTCTAACCATGTGTGGTACTTTTCATTTGTTCTGCCCATTCCAACCATAAAACGCACCACCGCAGATACAAAATTCTGTGCGCCAATGCCATCAAAGAACCTTGCGACCCTCAAAAGGCCACCCAGCTGGTTTTGGACGCGATCAATCTGGAGCCAGAACTATATCGTATGGGTCTCACCAAGGTATTAGACGCCTTTGGTTTATTCAAATACCATATTACAAGAATATGGAACGAACGCTTCATTTTTCTCACAAACTTTCAATCCTCACACGTTTTAAGTATTTTAAGAAATCTTCCAATTTGGTAGATTTGATAGTAATAGTAAGAACGTACTACCATATAGAATATTTCTATTTATCCATCTGAAAATATTATACTCTCTGTTCTATAGAATATGATATATTTCAGTCGTTACTTTCTTTGTTTTACATAGAAAATTACATTTTCAATAATCATAAATAAAAAGTCGAGTTGGTAAATTTGCATAAGATTTTAGAGAAGAAATTTTCTGATCTCCTTAAATAAATTATTTCGAAGTAACTTTAATTTATTTTTATTTTATTTTTATGTTTTTTCATCTTATCTTATCCGTAAAGAATTGTTTAAAATTCTTTTGTTAATTACTCGTATTGAAAAGTGAGGGATCGAAAGTTCCATCACGCCATTATCAGACTTCTTAATGCTCACTATAACCGAATGCAACTGACGATATTACTACAACAAAGACGATTACGTTTTCTTTCTTTTGGCAAATACAAGGTAACTTTTTCGTTTATTAATGCTCTAAATTAATTAACTGTGCTTCTTTGCCTATTTTCCAGTATATCTGTACCATACTATTGCTCCGCTCGTTCAAATTCTGCATGCTAAATTCTAGAACCTGAAACGAACGTTACTTTGATCACTACGGTATTATTCGATAGCTATTTTGTAAAATTCCTTGTATCGAATCTTTTTCACTAAATCGATAGTGAATCGATAAAATCGATAAAATCTCTTACCTTAAAATTCTCAATCACAGAGTCGATTCGTTCACCGTGTAGAGTAAATTGGACGCCGAGAGTGGTCAGAGTAATTCAAGGGAAATTGTCAAGGAATAATTGTTAATTGGGATATTTCTTTATTTCGATACTTAAAAAAACAACAGGTATTCTTCCGCGCTGGAGTCCTGGGTCAGATGGAGGAGCTTCGCGACGAGCGACTCAGCAAGATCGTGTCATGGATGCAAGCCTATATCAGAGGTTACTTGTCGAGAAAAGACTACAAGAAGTTGCAGGAACAACGTTTGGCTTTGGTCGTGGTTCAAAGGAACTTGAGGAAATACCTGCAACTTCGTACTTGGCAATGGTGGAAGTTGTGGCAGAAAGTTAAACCTCTCCTCAACGTCACTCGTATCGAGGACGAGCTTGCTGTAAGTGTTTTAAATGATAGTTTGTTTACACAAGCTACGTCTTCCTCTAAAACTTCCTATAAACATCCATTCTTCGAACTCTCCTTGAATTTTCTACAAATTTTTACAAATTTTTACAAATTTTTAACAACGTTATATTATTATTTTATTATCATTCTGTATAGTTGTAAATGGTATTTTATATTTTATTATTTGAAATTGAACGCGTCTGTACATTTTTAACAAATTTTTTCTTTTTGATATTTTCGATATTTAATTTTATTTTATATTTAATAGTTAATAGTGATATTCGATTAATGATATAGTTATTAGAAAGATATTTTATACTTATACCAATTATTCAGTTTATTCTTTTTATATTGCATTTTCACATTTTCGAGCTAAAGATTTTTCCAGCTATTTTCACTTCTGTAATTAATTTTTCCATTAACGTTATCTTATTTCTTAAAGCAATTTAGAAATTTCAAAAATAGTTTGAGATATTAACTATAATTCAAATACTATACATTTATTATTTCTTCCCACCATTTCCTTGTGAACTTTGATACTTCTAGATTATAAGAGTATGATATGTGACGTGTGTTCGTAATTAATTATAATTAATCGTAATAATTAATTATAATTAATTGTAATATTCTGTACGATCTCTGGCAAAAGCACGGGTGTTATTTTTACCATCGTATTTATATCTATGATATATATATATATATATTATCAAAATTCGTAATATTATTAAAAATTGTAGCTAGTCTTTTATTTTCTTATTACCAATATCAATTTGCTCAACTTGTGCATATAATATATAGCTGCTATCGATGTGGGTAATTATTACACATTACAAACTTGGGCTAGTATACTTTTTCTCTTCGAGGTCGTTAAATCAAAATTTTGTAATCAGTTATGAAAAATCTGATTCTTATTTTTTTATTAACAATATCAATTTGCTCAATTTACACGTATTTGTTACCGATATTCGTAATATTATTATACATTTGTCATAATAATTATTAATTATAAATTTGTGTCATACATTTTCCTCTCTAAATCAGGGCTTTGTAGTCGGTCATAAATAGTTCATGCTAAGAAGCACGAGTATCAGTGATAGGCATTACGACTGAATGAAATACGATTCACGAGAAATATCGATTTCACGATAATTTATGAAAAGTAGAGCGTGCTTCTGGATTTCGCCGTAAATTTTGTTTATTCCTTTATCTCGGGTTTCATTTTTCCCAACTTTCTGGAACATCGGCTTCCGATGTTCTACGTTTATTTTCTCAAGCTCACCACTTTCTTCCTTTATCCGCTTTCGCGTTTGCAGAAGGCTGACAATAATCGTTCCTACTACTGAACACTTCAAACGTTCGCTTTTACATTTTACATATTTTACATATTCAGTGGATATTCGAAAAACGGATTAATTTTAAAAATATTATTAATATTTTATGAATATTATTTAACAGCAAGCTCGTATTTATCGTCTTTTTCGTTTTAAAATCGGTTTGTGCTTTAGAAACAAACAATTAGGAATATTAACAATTGAATGTTTTCTGCTTTAGAATCGGTTTGTGATTTAGAAATAAAAAATTCGGAATATTAGCGAATAATTTTTTTCTTCGTTTTAAAATCGGTTTGTACTTTAGAAACAAAAAATTAGGAATATTAGCAAATAATTTTTTTCTGCTTTAGAATCGGTTTGCGCTTTAGAAATAAAAAACTAGAAATATTAGTAAATAATTTCTTTTTTTCTTTGCTTTAAAACCGGTTTGTATTTTAAAAATAAAAAATTAGGAATATTAGCAAATAATTTCTTTTTCGATTTAAAATCGGTCTGCGCTTTAGAATCAGGAAATTAGGAATATTAGCAAATCATTTTTTTCTGCTTTATAATCGGTTTGCGCTTTAAAAATAAAAAATTCGAAATATTAGTAAATCTTCTTTTTTCTTTTTTGCTTCAAAACCGGTTTGTGTTTTAGAAATAGAAAATTAGAAATAATAGCAATTAATTTTTTCCGCTTTAGAATCGGTTTGTGCCTTAAAAACAGAAAATTTGGAATATTAGCAAATAATTTTTTTCCACTTTAGAATCGGTTTGTGCTTTAGAAACAGAAAATTTGGAATATTAGCAAATAATTTCTTTTTCTATTTAAAATCGATTTTGTGTTTTGGAAATAAAAAAATAGGAATATTAGCAAATATTTTTTTTTCGATTTAAAATCAGTTTGTGCTTTAGAAATAAAAAACTAGGAATATTAGTAAACATTTCTTTTTCGCTTTAGAATCGGTTTTTGATTTAGAAGCAGAAAATTGGGAATAGCAGCAAATAAATAAAATGGAATATCGACTGATGTAAAAATTAAAAGTTAAAAGCATATCAAATGTCTAAATTCCGAATATTAAATTCCAAACGTACATGCAGGTACCTATTCCTTATCATTTTACTTATCGTTATACAATTTGCATTAAAAAAAAAATTCGCATAATTAATAAAAGACACTTTCCAGAATTCTTTACGTGATCTATAATTATAGGATTAATTATAGAATTGCACTTGTAGAGTTACAAATTAAAACTTCATCTTTATGAAAATATAACCTCGAAATAATTTAATTAAATTTAGACACGAGTCTAAGTAACGTGCATAACCAGACAAGCATTCTTATAATATTTGGCTCATCAAAATTGCCGTTATAAAAGAATCAAAGTTAGCTCATTTCATCTTTTTTTAGTACTCTATAAATAGCTTTCCAACACGATTTGGCGCGTGCTTTTCCACCACGATTCAGGCATTCGACTCTCTCCTCATCTCTCTCGCGCTCTCTCTCTCTCTCTCTCTCTCTCTCTCTCTCTCTCTCTCTCTCTCTCTTTCTACCACCCCCGTTTATATATATACACATCTTTCATATTTTTTAACAAACCGATTTATCCCTGACAATGTAAATAGAACAAAAATATTATTCCCCCCACGGGCCACGATCTCGTAAACTTAGGGCTTCAAAAATTCCAAATCCCCGATTTCATCATGGACTTTGTGTCACCGATTATTCATGCTATCTAATTTCATCTTAGAGATGAAATGAACTGCCTTTCGATATATTTAGTACAATTTTATTTTAGAACGATATCTTTGGAAACGAGATACCAAAGATAAAAGATCGTTGGATACTCGAGCATTTTACGTGCATATTAACATGGCAAACGATTTTTTTTTAATTACTTGGAATTATTATACTTCTTTATTATTTCACAAGTGTCTATACATATAAGGTATATTAATTTAAAAACAAATTTTTCTTTTATTATTCGAAATTGTTATATTATTATTATATTAGAAATATTTTGAAAAGACTACTAGTACATACAGGATTTTTCTATTATTTATTAGTAAATTGTACAAATTAGAGTTTCATGGAATATTTAAAAGAAGCTATTACTGTCACTGTTACTATTACAGTCACTTTGAATTATTATACCGCACATCGATACACTATACATATAACGCGCAGAGTTGTACAATGCAGATCTATGGTATTCGGTAAATAAGACAACTAAAAGAATTTCGAACTACGACTTGCATCTAGAGACAGTAGACGCACAGTAGTCACAGAGACACTAAGTAAATTTCACGTTTGGAAGGCAGAAACCTCTGGGACCGTCGAATTAGTCACCGCTCAGAGATTCACGACGATCCATAGCGATAATTCGTTTCACAATGGACATTGATTTACCGATCGATCCCGAAGGGGCTACAGAAATAGAAACAATCTTTTGCAACTAGACCAGTCTGGTCTAAGTAAAGTCGGTACCCTGTCTAATCTGCCGATTATCCGAGTTTTGCAGCGGGTCAAAGCGAAAATAAAGTAGTCCAAATCACGTTCAATCGGAAATAGTATCACCCGCTATAAATGATATTACCACGGCATAAATCTAACCGCGCCGACGCGAGTAAAACGATCTTACCCCCCTTCACGGATCGGTGCTTGTTCCCAATTACGGAAGAAAGCCATAACGCCATCTGCCGTGCCCCCTTGAGAATAACGAGGTCGGTCGGTGTTACACTGGCTGGAGCGTAAAAGGAGACTGGAGTTTGCTTGATCGAAGCTTTACTGGAGCGGCTTCTAATTCTGTCCATCCCCCTCCATCTGCCTGGTTTGTCATGGTAGCTCCTTCTGGGTGCACACGTATAAGTCCCTTCGTCATCGAGATCGGTTATAAATATTTTTCTACGATGAGTATCGCTGGAGTGGGGCGGTGATTCTCAGCGACGACTACGAAGAGGGATTTTGGGTAGAAAAGTTGAGCCTCTGGTAAACCGAAGACCAGTTGGACACGCGATCTCGCGCCGACCTCTTCGAATACCTTGCTCTATCGAACTCTGCCCCCTCCCCTTTTTCTCCTCCACGCTACGAACGTACTATCACGAACACGATCGAAGAATCTTTTCTTTCCAGTCTTTCCTATCGATATATTACAACGAACACGAACCGGATCAATCGTTTATCCGCTTCGATTACAGTCGAATCTCCTCCGATAACGAGGATCTTTTTAGATTTCTCGATCGATCGATCGATCGCGTTACACATCGCGAACATCGTCGCGTTCGACGAGTGCTTGGCCAGAGATCTGTGAATAAGATTCTCGAATAAGAGAATGGGTGACACGTTGATCGACGACACGAACCCCGTGGTGAACGGACAGAAAATGAACGGTGATCCGAAATCGCAATTACAGGCGCTCGAGGAGAAAGCCAGGAAAGCTCAGGAAGCCTTCGAGAAGGAAGAGAAGCTGCGCAAGGAACTCGAGGAACAGAACACCAAACTCACCACCGAGAGGAATGCCTTACAGAAGCAACTGGAAGGCGAGAAGGGTTCTCTGTCGGAATACATGGAGAAATCGTTGAAATTGGCCGCACAGAAATCCGATCTCGAGTCACAACTTCAGGTAAGCTTTTATTTACTTATCGTTACACCTGCTTATTCTTTCGTGCGAAGGAAAGGTACCATTGCAATTTGCAGAAATTCCGCGATACGCGAGACTTCTTTCGATACGAGTGAAAGTAATCGAATACTTGAAAGGTAATTCGATTTACCGGTTAACGATAAATTTCGATACCAATTTGTCCAGATGTAACAGCTGAGGTTTTAAAAATTTTTAAAGAGATATCCGTCGTTTTTCAGGAATCCTGGAATTTTTAAAAAAATTTAAATTTAGTCGTCCAGTAATTATTAGAGCTATCGAGGAAAAGTTATTGCTATGATTAGAATTCACAGAAATTTTGGGATACCAGAGACTTCTTTCGATACACTTGTCTCGAGTGAAAGTAATCGAATATTTAAAAGCTAGGTCGATCTATCGGTTAATGATCAATTTCGATACCAATGTGTCCAGATGTAACTGCTGAGGTTTACAAAATTTTTAAAGAGATATTCGTCGTTTTCCAGGAACCCTGGAATTTTTTAAAAATTTTAAATTTTGTCGTTCAGTAATTTTTAGGACTGTCGAGAAAAGGTCATCGCGATGATTGGAATTTACAGAAATTCTGTGATACCAGAGGCTTCTTTCGATACACTTGTCACGAGTGAAAGTAATCGAATATTCGAAAGCTAATTCGATCTATCGGATAATGATCAATTTCGATACCAATGTGTCCAGATGTAACTGCTGAGGTTTACAAAATTTTTTAAAGAGATATTCGTCGTTTTCCGGAAATCCTGGAATTTTGAACAAAATTTAAATTTCGTCGTCCAGTAATTTTCAGAGTTGTTTATCGCGATTTACGTGATCGAGTAACGAAGGGCGATCGATGGTTTTCGCAAAGCTCGTTCCTCGGAAAGTAGTTCAATTGGCACGACTCGTCGATATCGGAATCCATTGCGCGACGATGAATGTACCCTGCACGAATCGAACCATGAATCAGACAAACGATAATTATACCGTCTAGATGAATGATTCGATGTCGAAACTAATGAGAATGGGGTTATTAATGTCTTCTTAACATTGCTAAAATCAACCGAGGTCACACGCACCGTATATTACGGTCGTGAGGAAAAATATTGCAAACCAAAATTATCGTGATCGAGCGGAGGAGTGTAGCTTTAAATATCCATGGGGAGGATAGATGGATGAAAGAAATGCCGGGTTTTATTTATCGTGATTATTTTTCGCATACCTTCCTTAAAATACATTTCGCAAACTCTTTCTATCGTAACTCTAAATCGATTCACCTAACCAACATTTTTATTACTTCATACGAACCTTGATTATAAAAATGATCCGTCGTTATATTTTCACGAATACCAGTGCATCTGAATCTCGAAGCAATTCGAGAGTAGAAAGCAGCGAGAAAAATTGATTTATATAAATATTTATAAAAATTAGCTTCAAGTGTCACATTTTATTCGTTATTAAATTGCACGCCTACCCTTTCGGTAAATTTGTCGAGCAGGTTACTTAATTTCGCTGCGATATTAATCAGGATTATAATTTTAAACTCTGGAAAAGCGGAATAACGAGATCGGAATGTTCCGAAAGTAAACAGATTTCGACACCGTGTGTGCTTGTGCAGACAGGTATAGCTGTCTTCGAGAGAGCCTGAAGTTCAGAGCTTACAGGCACGTCATAATTTAATCGGATCTGGCTCGGATTACAGAAAATGATGCACCTGGCAGGAGTTGATACATCGTCGTTTCGTAAGCACGAGCATTAAGTAGCAGAGGCGCGTCATTAGTCAGACGCATCTGACTACCGTTCGCGTGCTATTTTTCTTCCACGACGAATCATCCCTCGTTTCTACACTCGTTCTAAAATTATGACAACTTCCCACAGATTCTCCATAGCGAATTCTCAGTTCTGACCATCTCGCCATGTTTCTTCGATTTTAATCCACGTTCCTTCTCTGTCTGCTTATACCCTGCGTTGTACTACTGAATTATCCTCGATAATCCTCCGCTTCGCGTGAAACGTAATTTATAATAATTTAAACGAACGTCTCGATCGAAATCTGTTTCTTTTCCACTGAGTGTATTCGAAACACCGGTTTCTTCGATATTAAGTCCGAACTGACGTGATAAATTGCTAGAACGTGAAGTATAGCGAGACACGTGTGTCTATATTAACAGGATATCTCGTTTCTGTGCACGTAAAGCAGGAAGACAGATACTACAGCTGAAATAGCTCTGTTTACATTAACACCTACGCCATTGTAACCACAATTTCGTTTCCTTAAATCATCTTCTGGTAAATCCTACGTGACTTCCCGGCTCGGGTTCCTCCGTGGGATATTTAAGACAGCCAGTGTTTAACGAAGGAAATTGGATAGCAGGGAAACTCATCGCGTAATATAAAAAGAACTCCAAGAATTCCGTGGAAGATATGATTCGTTCCAGAATACCGGACTATTTTTAACGGCCACCTTTTAAACGACTGACTAACTGGTATTTTATGTCAACACCAGTCGTAAGATCGCTTTTTTCTTCTAGATTAAATTTAGAATCGCCTCGTATATCCGGTAGAATGGGATTCCTTTTTGCAATTAACGACCAAACTGTTCTCCAGGCAGCTCGTTTATCATGCCTGTTACCGGATCTTCGACTTTAAATTTTACAGACACGGAGGCAACCGTGACTCGTTAGACCTACAAAGATTCCGCTATTATTATTATTCGAAGATTACATCTTCGATTTTTCCCAAATGCAAATACGTTTGGGAGATTTTATTGTTTTCGAAACCCAACAAATTTCTTGGAAGGCGGATAGAGGGTAAATGTCACATACTTAAAGTTCGAGTATGTGACAGGGAATGCTATCGAGGGACGAAGGATGTGATTTTGTTACGAGTTCGATTAAGATCGTAGAGATTACAGCTATTATAGAGTGCATGGAACGAAGTGGTGCCATATACGGTTAGCAAAGAAGAAGGAAAGGAAGGAAGCGAGGGTAGGAAGAAAGAAAAATGCGTTTAAATCAGCTTGGAATACCTGATGTGGAGAGGGACGTTGACTACTTTGCCCCTACCTTCGACACGGCCAAATTTAGCTGCCGCCGATCCGAGATTCCAGGTTATTAAAAGTAGGCGTGGTTCCGTGCTGGAATAACCGACAAAACGAAGGAGGTAACAGGTGTATGGTGTATTTATATGTTAGTACGCTTATACGCGTCATCGCGTAAATCCTGAGCTGCGAGCTTACGTTCCAAAAATTTCTATCGTCCACTTTCGAATAATTTCAGTTTACTATTTCGTTTCCTTTCGTCCCACGATGCGACTAGTTCCTCGCTGAGTTTAGTCTGCATGGGGTGCGTCGTTATGGAGGGTGCTCGAGGAGCTCCTTAATAGAGGAAACCATCGATGCTGGAATTTGAAATGCGAAAAATGGAATTAAATATTGGAAATAGAACAAATATCGATGATAATTACTACAGAGATAAATAACTATGGGAATTTTTGCTTTTTGATTAATTGCAATGTTAAAAATTCGAGATTATAAATAATTTTTCTCTGGCAGAGATTTTCTATGAGATTTAATCTCATTGTTAGTAGAAATTAATACTCGGTTTTACATTTCCATATCGGTTATACCGTGGTAACGAAATAACGAATTTTTGCTTTTTGATTAATTGCAATGTTGAAAATTCCAGATTAAAAATAATTTTTCACTGGCAGATATTTTCTATGAGATTTAATCTCATTGTTAGTAGAAATTAACACTCGGTTTTACATTTCCATATCGGTCATACCGTGGTAACGAAATAATTCAGATGAAGAAAGATTTGGACAATGAAATAATTGTAGAAACATGTGATTCGAAATTTACGTAATTGAGTTACTTCATGTCATCATGAGTAATACCTACTATGTTTGATCAAGTACTATTCGACTAAATGTACGCGTTATAGCACATGGATCTGTTCCAAACTCGTGTCATCTTTAGAACACTGTTTGTCATTAAACATTTATGTAATTCAAAATATACTATTTGAACGTAACACGAAGAGAAATGAGAATAAATAATTGGAAGGCTTGTTTTACTCGATAGTATGGATCAGAGCCGTGGGAAAATTGAAGATTATTACAACAAAATTATAATCACTTATTATGTTATACTTATTATGTTACATGTACAGTGATAAGATAGGAACTTAGTGAATAAACTATTCTATTTTTGATTAATTAGTCTTGGCTTTGTAATAGTAATTAATAATGGAAAAACAAAATTTCATAAATTAAAAATTAATTTAGACGAAAGTTTAATTTTTATTTGTTTTTGCAATTAAATAAAATTTTTATAGGAAATTTATTACTTTGCACTTTCTATGATAATTTTTAATTTAGTAATTAAATTAATTTAATTAAATTTAATAATTATTAAATTACTTTTCACTTACAGTAATACAATATAGTTTGCCAAAATTTCCTCATTGAAATAATTTAGATTTTGATTTTGCAATATTTTTATTCAATGACAGTAATATCAAAGTGAATAAATTAATTATCACGATTATTTAATAATTTAAATTCCTGAATATAATACCGAATCAGCTTATCATTACAATCAACTTTAAACGTATTGAAAATTATTTTTAATCCCAAAATATGCTAGTAAATATATTTTACGAAATATTTTCGAGAAATTACTTTTTATAAAACAAAATTGATGTACCGTATCATGGAATTTGGAGAAATTTGAAAATTCTCAACAGGTAATAATCATAAATAATAATTTATATTAATAATACTTGTAACATACATTGAACACTGCTTACCTTCTATTATATATAATGCATATTAGTATATACATTAATCCAAGCAAACAAAAAGGGTGGTTAGTATAATAATCATAAATTATTTATTTAGAAATATAAAAGATTACCATAAACATCGATTAATACAAAATTTAGGATTTAGTACATGCATTCTCTAAAGTAACTGAAGCAGAAGTGAATATGAAACACCAATGTATATCATACGAAAAACATGCTAATTACTCACGGCAGTGGTACCACATCTCCGAAGGCGGGAAATTTGAATTATTCGCAGTAATTTTAATTCTAATCGCAGTTACCGTTAATTGATTAATTAAATAAAAATCTCGTAACCTAAGCAGCAACTAAATTATTACATAACAATGGTTAAAAAGAAAGTTCAAGTGAAAAGAAGTCTCGTAATTGAAACGGAAGCAAATCCTTTCCAAAAGCAAGTACTCTTATTAAATAGCACAGAATAGAGAAAATAAACATAGACGTGCACCAAGCCAAACATGATTGATAAAAATGGAAGTATATCTATCATTTTCATATTACAGGATCTGAATGACAGATTCAAAGAAGAGGAAGATTCGAGAAACAATCTCTTCCAAAACAAGAAGAAACTCGAACAGGAAGTGGCTGGTCTAAAGAAAGACATCGAGGACCTCGAGCTGAACCTACAAAAATCAGAACAGGATAAGGCAACGAAGGATCACCAGATCCGCAACTTGAACGACGAGATTGCTCACCAAGATGAATTGATCAACAAATTGAACAAGGAGAAGAAGAACCAAGGTGAAGTTAACCAGAAGACTGCCGAAGAGCTCCAAGCTGCCGAAGACAAAGTGAATCACTTGAACAAAGTCAAGATCAAACTCGAGCAAACTCTCGACGAACTTGAAGATTCCCTCGAACGTGAAAAGAAATCACGGTTAGTGATTCTCAAAGATATTACAAAGATATAAGGTCATAACATTCGAGCATAAATTAAACATAATTTTTCAAAGCATGCACTTGAGATGGAAGATTCATTTTAATTTTCTCTCGTGTTATCAATCGATACGAGTAACGAATAAAATATGAATCTCATCATGTGAACATGTATATACGTACTTGCTTAATTTTACAGAGCCGACGTTGAGAAGGCCAAACGAAAAGTGGAGGGTGATTTGAAACTTACACAGGAAGCTGTTGCAGACCTCGAAAGAAATAAGAAGGAACTCGAACAGACTATTCAACGTAAAGATAAGGAATTGTCATCTTTGACTGCCAAACTCGAAGATGAACAGTCCTTAGTAGGCAAATTGCAGAAACAGATTAAGGAATTGCAAGCCCGTATCGAAGAACTCGAAGAAGAGGTTAGTTTCACAAGCATATTCTCTTCTCTAAGCAAATTTTTGCTTATTCCTCTAATTTCCAAAACATCGTTAAAGCAAGGAAGGAAATCCAACTGATTCTCTTAATTAATTCCCTTAATTAATTATCCTTGTTCTACAGATCGAAGCTGAACGCGGTTCTCGCGTGAAAGCCGAGAAACAACGCAGCGACTTGGCGCGGGAACTCGAGGAACTAGGTGAACGCCTGGAAGAGGCTGGTGGCGCCACCTCCGCTCAAATCGAGCTCAACAAGAAGAGGGAAGCCGAACTTAGCAAACTCCGCAGAGACCTCGAGGAAGCTAACATTCAACATGAAGCCACTCTTGCTAGCTTACGCAAGAAGCACAACGATGCCGTTGCCGAGATGGGTGAACAGATTGACACGCTTAACAAACTGAAGGCTAGGTAAGCTGGGAAAATCTTTAAAAGAATTATTTTGAAATACTTGGGTAATTCGCAAATACTTCCTAGATTAAGAACGTATCTCGTTTAACGTATAAAAATTACATTTACAATGAATTTAAGAGACTCGTAAAGAATCGGGGATATAATTAAATGTTTTCATCAGAGCTGAAAAGGGTCGCCACGATATCCACGCCGAGCTGAACAATTCTCGCGCCGCGACGGATCAGGTTTCCAGGGAAAAGGTAGATTCAAACCAAGAGAATGTCGAGCCTGTGATTTTTGTTGTCCGACAACCTTGTTACCTCGTCCGTTACCATTTTTGTTCGACATTTTTACTCTATGTTGAAATTTAGCACGAAGTCAAAGTCACTGTCCAATTTTTCCCGAATGGTTTTAAGGAAGAATGTCTTACTATTTGTTTGTACAATGTTCCTTTCACGAATTTTATCGCGTCAGAATAATTACTTCTTCTCTAACGTTATAATTAATTTCTAGGTTTCGAAATGTTTTTCAAAGGATACATTTTGTCACGGTTAATATGTTCATTCCAATGGTTCTAATTTCTCCTGATCGTGTCCCGTATACTAATTACCTGTTTCACGTTTGTTTTCATGAAAATTAGAGTTGAGAAGGACAAGGTTCAGTACTTCAGCGAATTAAATGACATGCGCGCTTCAGTAGACCAATTGAGCAACGAAAAGGTAAGGATTCCGTTCGGAAGTCTCTAGGATCTAGCAAACTAACGCAACTAACAGCTTTATCAGGCAGCAGTCGAAGCAGCCTGGGAAAAGGCAGCGGCAAAGAGTTCGCAATTTCTCGTGAACGTCTCTACGTCTAACTTACGTCGTCGGAAAGTGTGTCCAGCTTGCAAAGCTTGCTCCTCGTGTGTACCTCCCCCTGTTCCAAGTGTACATTCACTTTTGGACGATCTTCTAACCTAAAATTCGTTTAAATTGCTCCAAAAGTGAATTGACCAAAATTTAGTAGACTCGAACGATTCGTCTGATGCTGAAATATTTGTGAAACAGGCTGCCCAAGAAAAGATCGTGAAACAATTGCAACACCAACTGAACGAAACTCAAGGAAAACTCGAGGAAGTGAACCGTACTCTGAACGACTTCGATGCTGCCAAGAAGAAGCTGTCGATCGAGAACAGTGACTTGCTGCGCCAATTAGAGGAAGCCGAATCCCAAGTTAGCCAGCTGTCCAAGATCAAGATTTCGCTGACGACTCAGCTCGAGGACACGAAACGATTGGCCGACGAAGAATCACGAGAACGCGCCACTTTGCTTGGCAAATTCCGTAACCTGGAACACGATTTGGACAACATTCGAGAACAAGTGGAGGAAGAGGCTGAAGGCAAGGCTGACCTCCAGAGGCAACTCAGCAAGGCGAACGCCGAGGCACAATTATGGCGCACGAAATACGAATCCGAGGGTGTGGCGAGAGCGGAAGAACTGGAGGAAGCCAAGAGGAAGTTGCAGGCACGACTGGCGGAAGCGGAAGAAACTATAGAATCGCTCAATCAAAAGGTCATCGCTCTCGAGAAGACGAAACAGAGACTGTCGACGGAAGTGGAGGACCTACAGATCGAAGTGGATCGTGCAACTGCGATTGCCAATGCTGCAGAGAAGAAACAGAAGGCGTTCGACAAGATTATCGGAGAATGGAAACTCAAAGTCGACGATCTTGCCGCGGAACTGGATGCCAGTGAAAAGGAATGCGGCAA